GCTTGATACCCGGCGTGCGCGTCGTGGCCTACTGAAATGTAATCACCGATGCTGCGCTTGGTTACAATGATTGCTCGGCCATCAGCTTCTCTGGCGTTGGCGTTAGAAGGAGGCCTGTTGTGACCAGCTCGCGTCGAAGTGAACTTCACTAGAATCTAACGACTGCGGTTCTCGACGCCTGGATCAGCCAATCACTGTTGCCGCATATATGTCTTTTGGGGCGGCGACGAATAGCAAGCCTGCACGCGTGAATTGCTTCCTCTGCTCACTGTCCTGACTGCTGTCAAACTGATACTTGGCCCCGCCCGGTCTCCTGGCTGGTCGTACGCTCTCCAAGTCAAATCTCTTTCCATCTATTCTTCATTCTTCTGTGTACACCATATACTGTTCCTACTCCTCTGGCCTCTACCGAATTCTCCTTTACTAAATAAATATGATCTGAAGATCGCAATTGCTAGGGTTTAACTTACTTAACCCTCTGCGATAGGCCTACTTGACATCTTTTTAAGAGCGCACGCTAGGCAATCGAATCACGCGTGGCGAATTTATTCCCAAAATAAGGATTTGTAACCAACAACTGATAAATTTGTCAGCCGGACTTGTTTTCCAGAGAGATTAACGGATCAGTCCTAATGCGAGAGGGAACCGTTTCTAGTTATTTTTTTTAAAGCCAGCGCTTTCCTCAGTATGGGTTTTGCTCTGAACGTGAGGGTAATATCGCGAGCGAATATTTATATCAAACAACTTTATCACAAATGCAATTCCAATGTCTTTCTGGTCTGATAAGCATTAAATTACACGAGAGATGCAAAAAAGAGGTACAAAGGCTCAGTTTCTTAATCAACAGTCAGATGCATATTCAAGCTGTAATGTATCATTATAAACAAAAATATTACCTTGACTTCAATTGTTCCACGCTCCTGGAAAAGGAACCCTCCCAACTTTTCGAGGATTTCGTGGGTTGCGTCACTACAGTGTATCTTGTAGGCTAAAATAACAGGAAGACACGTAGGATATGAGTTCTGGCATCACGGTAATTGTGCAGTAACGTAATTAGTAAACCACAGCTTTCAAGGATTCTGATAAAAAAAATTGTTCGGCCACTGACGGTTGCACTGGTTTAAATTAAAACTTTCACGACTAACCTTCGCCAGTGCTCTCCATTCTGCTTGCGGTATTCACAGTGTCACCAAAGAGGCAATAACGGGGCATCTTCAATCCCACTACGCCGGCGCATACCGGCCCTAAAATGTAAAAATTATAAATTATGTCTACTCACATAGCAGAAAGTAGATATAACGCAGTGAATTAAAATTTATAAGAGCAACTGTACCTGAGTGTAGGCCAACGCGTATCTTCAGTGGCGCGCCTGGTAAGTGAGGGATGACAAAGGAGTGTGAGGCCTCAACCAGATCCAGCGCCATGTCTGTCACAGACACAGCATGGCGAAGCCCATTTCTTCGTGGTACACCGGACGCAACCATATCTTGGAATGAAAAGAAAGCAGAACGTGATTTTGCCTCGAGGCTGTCAGCTGCGCTTATGGAATTAGACACGGTAACAAGGATCCGTGTATTATAAGTGGGTTTGTGTTATATTGCGGAGAGCTTATCCTCACAGTTAGTGTTAAGATAAATGTTTTAGGGTGAGAAGTTTAGTTATGGTTACGTTCCATGCGTCGGTTAGTTTTAGAAATGTTGGGTTTGGTTTTAGAGGGAGACTCTTTGGACACAGAAATTATAACCTCGTATTACAAATGTTTGCTTTCTTTACTCTCCATGGCAATCCCTACAATAGATTGTTACCAAAAATGATGGCTAAAACCAAAAAGGTGTAGATGCTTACATGCATCACCAATCGTCTCCACTTTATAGACATCATATCGATCGATGATCTGATCGAACTCGCTGTAGAGCTTGTTCAACAGTGCCACAACCTGAAGGACAAAGAACCCAAGCGTGGACAAGGGAAACAAATCACAGCGGTAGAATGCAATAAAATTAATTTAAGGAATTAAAAACAAGTATTCCTTTGACCAAAAATGTGACAAGCTTGGTGTCCATGGTGGGCCTCGAACCCAGGGCACGGCCTG